CTGGATCCGGCACAAACAGTAAATACTCCGGGCCCATTTTGTGGTTAGCAATAAAGCTCGCCACGTTGTCTCGCATGGTTGCGATCCGGCCCCGGGGCACCCTGCAGTAGTAGGGGGTGTTTTCCTCTCTGTAAGAGGCGGACGGCTCTGCCCAATTATCCCCCTTCTCCACTGCATGGGAACTTCTCGCCTCTTGTAGGCGGTTATGTTTTTCTTCTGAGTCAGAAGAACTATGGTCAGAAGAACTATGGTCAGAAGAGCTGGAATCGGACTCGTCCCTTGACGAGTCCGAAGAGGACGACTCCTCCCCTCTCCTAGAGGGGCCCGCCTCCTCTCCCTTAGAAGGAGCAGAAGGTAAATTCGACATGTCCACGGTTAGATGAGAAGGGAACACCTTGGTCCCTCTCTCAGAACTGTCAGCTTGACAGTCGCCTCGTTCCACATCTGGCGCCTGGTCAGATGTTTCGCTAAGGAGTACCCTTTGGGAGGAGCCGTCTGAGTTTGATATTCTAGCAGTCTTTTTTGTTCTGGCCATCACGTTCTGCATAGACACAGATTCAGTCGGACTTTGTATAAAGGGCAAAGATGGGTCCAGAAAAGGGCAGGCGGCACTCCTAGTCCTAGATTCAGCCGTCCCCGGTGACCGGCTGATCACTAACTTAGGGCGTGTCGTGTGCTTCCATGGTGCCATTTCAAAAAATAAAAAGAAAATTAAGAGTAAGAGAACTGAGTTACCTGAACGGATGACAGTTGATGAAGTCCTGAAAGTTCGGGTCAGTCGGCTTGTCAGAACAGGCGGTAGGCAGAAAAAGTCCGAAAATGTCAGATCAAGTTCAGGGGTCCGAATGTTCTCGCAAAAATTCTCAAATGTGAAAATGACCGAAGTCAGCACTTCCTTTTATAGGCAAAATAAGAAGGCGAAGGGTCGCTTCCGAATTCAAATTTGGGCGGGAGAGTCTCCCGGCCGTCTGCAAGGTGACACCTGTAACGGGCCGTCGCCTGTCACCGTGCGACGCCTGTCACAGGCGACACGTGACCAGTCGCGTGCCACCTGTGAGGGGCAAATGATTAGGGGATTTTTATCCACCAAGCGCCGTTTGACAAGTGGACCAACCAGGTTCCGCCACGCGTCCTCCACGGACCACTTAAGACACGCCACGTGTCCACCCATGCCAAATGGGACAACCGGCCATCAAGGCCCATTTCAGTCTAGAAGCCCGATCGGCCCTAGGTTTACCTTAAACCTAGAGAGTTGCACGCTTCCCAAGGCTATAAATACTCGATTAATCCTCATTAATCAAGGGACCGAATAATTAACGGAACGGAGGAGAAAATTACGGAACACACTAATAACCGGCTGATCTCGCTAGCAAAGCAGATTACCTACATTAAATACTCTCACCTAGAGAGACCTTATTACTTTAATTTCTGTATTAATTACTCCTTAATCAGGTACTAACTTGACCGTTGGAGGCGGAGCTCTCAGGAGTCTCCGTTATTTTGTAGGTACAGGCGTCCGGTTCCAGTCTCGGAATTGTAACTCTCCCGCAGGACATCAGAAAACCCCGAAACAATACTAGTATTTTGGTTAAGTTAATTATTCACAATTTTTTTTGGACCATATGGAGATTAGTCATGATAACAACCTAGTTTTCCCGTCATCAAATTATCATAAATTAAAACCAGTTCTACTCACATAAGCATTTAATTCACTTTATAACATAGAGAAAATTTCAATAAAATAATTTCATTTCATTAATCGAATAAAAGTACAACTTTTCCATCTAAAGCAATTATTGAGAGCAATAAACATAACATAGTTCAATTATTCAAGTAGCACTCTCAACATAGTCATCCTCATCATGGTCATAATCAGGATCATCTTGCTTAGACTTTTCTTTATCACTTGGGTAAACTGGATTGAAATCACTTTATTTTGGAGTATTGTCCAAGCTTGAATTTGAATTGAGGCCAATTAGAGTATCATCCAGGCTTGCATAAGGAGAGTAACTTTGGCTTTTGATTGGGCTAATACTACCACGAGGTTGATTTGAAAAAGCATTGGGCATTTGATGGACTTTTGGTGAAAGAGGATGATATTCAAGACTTAGTGGCTTTTGATTGACTTCTTGGGTACGAAATAAAGGCCTTTTTTCAACATGAATATAGATTTTTTGATTTGGAAGTTTTGGAGGTTCATAGCTTGGAGTACGAGTAAGAGAACGATAATTCTTGCTCCTTCCAAGAGGTGGTATGGACTCATCAATAGATGACACTAATTCATGAGGACCCTTTCGGTATGAAAAAAGTATTTGGGCATTTAAGTAGTACATTTGGTCATCTTTTCTCAAGGTACTAGTCTTTGAAATTTTGGGAAATCTCACAATTCTCCTCCTAGGCTCATAATCACGTTCAACATAGTGCCAGTCTCTCTTAAAGCTAGACATGCTTGCTAACCACTTCCCTTAATGATGATTTTTTCATTCCATAACCATTCTTCTGGATCACATCCCCATAGTTGTCAAAGAGAGGTTCATATTTGAGAACTCTAGGTAGATGGCAAAGTCCAAAAGAACCATCCAAGGTGGTTGGGTCAAATCTTTCAATCCATATTTTTCATAGAGGGTTAAGGCCAAAGCGTCGAGGCGAGCCTTACCTAGACAAAGAGTCGTACCCATTATAGGCCTCCGTAGAGAACCCGAACATCTTTTTCTCAATCAGCTTTCTATAGATAGGAAAATAGTTTTTATATATAAAATAAAGCTTTTAAATTTCACACACAAATGTGAAACTCTATCCTATATGCCTTCTTAAGTCTACCCACAATTTATTTTATTCCCAATTTTAATCTTTTTAGGACTGAAAAACAAATACTACTTTGTAACACCCCAAAATCTCCATCTACAGAAATACCAGTATAATACATATAATTATATTGTAGAGATAGACTTAGGCGTATTACCGTCGTGTGATTACGCAAAGTTGCTCAAAATAACTAACCAAAACAATACTTTGCACCGGAAATTCAAACTCTTTCTTTATTAATATTTACTATAAATAGAAACCATTGTTATGAGTACTCAAAATAGAACAAAGACCAACATTCCTATATCTAAGTGAAGAATATCCCGAGACTCAACACTGCCTAATATTGAGGTAAACATGGCGAACTAAAACAAATAGGAAATACGGATTAGTAAAATATGTTAAGTCAATAAGTGCAAGACAAGTAAATTCAATTTATTTGCAAACATGCTTTTTAAACCAATACAATAATTAATCTAATAATTCCAAAACTCATGATTTAAAAACGAATTCTCAATATACTCAAATATAATTCCAATAACTCAATAATCCAATAATAATAGTGATTTTTAAAATTAATTCTTTTGAAAAATCAAATTTCCTCTCTAAGTGTGCACACCGTCGAATAAAGTATCCTTATATTAAAAGGTTATTCTTGAGAAAAGACTAAGTCATACAAAGTCTATAGTTTTCAATGAATCTGCATAGTGGAATTAATTTAATAATCATGATTGTAAAGCTTCACTACTAGAATAAGCTCATTTGTCGATGGGAAATACCGATGGTATTGACCCTTATGTGTTTTGATGATGACTCAAGCAAACTTACACGTTTTAACAAGTGTGTTTAAGTATTGTAAGTCTTAGGTTTCGAGGAGGAAACTAAAGTATGTGATGATGTACCAGAGGAGGAACGAGCATACTGGAAGACAAAGGAAACCTAATACTAAGTGAGAAGTTAAAATCAAGGAAGCAGGACATTAGTTCCCCGAGGGAACTAAAGAATGGAAGCTTCAGTGTCGAAGATTCCTCAGAGAAAGCGAGGAGTTTAAAAGTTAATAGGTTATCTTTTTAGCTTCTTGTACGTATAAATTATATTGACATAAGTAAGAGTCAAGTGGAATAATTATCTTATTAATTATATTTTCCTAAAATCCTATTGGATATTATTCAAGTAAATAATTATCTTTTGGAAAATATCATTTGAAGGAAATATCTTTAATAAATATCTTTTAACTGATTTGGTTTTTATTTTTGAGAAAAAGATTTTTAATGGAAATATTTTTACGTGGGTTTTAATCAGTCAAACTAGTTGTTGGCCCGGGCGTTGCCCGGGTCATTACATGTTTGATGTAATAAAAATGAGTTAAGCAAATTGTTAAATAGTTAGTTCTTCTATATGTATAGGAATAAGATGATATAGTATTTGTATTAGATCCATAATTTTAATAATTTTCTACTTAATTAAAAACACTAATGTTCATCATTAATCCTCCCTAAAGTCTTAATATATAATTCGATGTACATACTACAGCTAATACTATATTTTTTTTTCAACTCCACTAACTTAATTTGTAAATAATTTAATGCTCACTTCTTCTTCCACATAATCCTCTCTATTTATTTCAAATAGATTAATAACTTCATCCTACAACATAACGAACTATACTTGCTTGTCATCATGTCCCTTTTTTTTCTTTTTCTTTTTTTTTTTTTTTTTTTTTTTGGTACATGGATCATGTACATGTTGAAGTAGTGACATTATAGGTACTTGATTTATGTTGAACGTACAGAAGATAACAACAACCGATTAAAGAAATCAGTTAAGATTTGGATATAATATGGATGATTATTATTGTTTACCTTTTCTCTTTTGCATGGTTGTTTTGTCCATCCTTTTAGTGATGTATGTCCAATCTTCCTCTCCATAACAAACCCGCACAAAAATACTATAAAGTAGATCAACCATTCTTGATGATCTCTCTCAGCTCCAATAATGGAAGCTAACATATTCTATTCTAAATTGGAATATAGAGGGGTGATTAGTAAGGACATATTTGACATACAATGAATTATTTATATGAAAGAGTTATAACCACTACTACAAAAAGAGTGATTTTTGGACGCAATTGGTTCGACGCTGTTGAAGAGGCGTCAGTCTATAACTTTTGGTTCCGTCTTTTTGCGACGCTTTTTGTAGTCGAAAATTTTCTCGACACTTAAAAGCGTCGAAAAACTCACGTGCTATGCACGTGAGTTAGGTTGCCCACAATTTTGAATTTTTTTAATGAAATAATTAGCGGGTTCGTGTTTTTTCACCCTCAGCTCAGTCGAATTAGGTTCCCAATTAAACGTCTTCAAAAAAAAAAAAAAAAAAAAAAAGAAAAAGGTTCCCAATTAAACTGCCCATATTCTATTCTGCTCTCCTCCAAACTTGGACTCCATCATCACTTTCATCAGCGACAAAAAAAATCTCAAATTTTAGGTTAATTTCTGGGTTTTGCTTGCTAAATTTCAAGGAATTTGGGGTTTTGTGGCTCGTCACTTTCATAAATTTGAGGTATTAATTTACAATTTGCTGAACAATATTGTTGCTAGGTATATTTCTCTATCGTTTTTGGCATATAATATATCACAATTCTCTAAATTTTCGTTAAAATTGGGAATTATTTGTTTGCATGTCTTCGATTTTGCGTTGGTGAAGAACAAGAATCGATCTCTTATTGCGAGGTAATTTTTTGCCCTTAATTAGATAAATTAATTTCTTTTTATGTTGTTTTTTTCGTGAATTCTGTTTTAAAATCCAATTTTTCATGTTTTTTTTTTTCATATTGTTTTTTGGTTTTTGTTTTGATTTTTATGGCGTTTTAGGGTTTTAGTTTGGAATGTTATGGGTTTTTTATATGAATATTATAGGCTTTGAATTTTCTGGTTTTTGATATGAATTTTGTAGGCTTTGAATTTTATGGGTTTTTGATATATATGAATTTTCTGGTTTTTGATATGAAATTTGTAGGCTTTGAATTTTATGGGTTTTTGATATGAATTTTATGGGTTTTTGATATGAATTTTCTTGTTTTTCTATGGTGATTTTGTGGCTGATGATTGCATTATGTCCTCACATGCTCTACTCTTAGAAGCAATACTCATTCCCTTATAAATCATTAGACAACACCCCCAATACTCACGGCCTGCTGCTGATGAATCAAGTCTTGTTGTTAAGAATGTATAAGTTTGTTTGTTCGTTATTATGATATGTACGTATAGAGCCAAGGCAGCAGTGTGAACAGGATATGATCCTAGGTTTGGGAACTGCTGATGAATCAAGTCTTGTTGTTAAGAATGTACGTATTGTTGTTTTCTTTTGAGGTGTGGGAGCCATAGCAGGTAATCTCATATAAATAATGTACTCTATATATAAGAGGAGGACAGTGAGATTGATTTTGGGACAGTGAATTTGGTCTAATATTGGGCTTTATCTCAGAGATGAAATCAAACTTTATGATTTCCCCCTTAAATATGCTATATTGGAAGTTGAAACACAGTAGTTTTTACATGGACTGTATCTAGCAATATCCTTTGTCTTTAGTTTCCCCAATTCCATTTTTTCCACCTAATGTGGTTCATATCGTTCTTTTTTCCTTTTCCTCTCAGCTTCCCCATCTGGGTGCTCAGTTATTTAAGATTTGATCACTTTGTTTTTCTTCTATCATATTTTGATATTCTCAGTTTATTCGTTATTGTATTGTAGGAAAAATAGAGTTTGACTCGTTGCTTTTCCCTTCTTACACATGCATATTGCATGATGTTTGGGAATCATTGTAGTCTTTACAAGGACCCCTTCAATTCCTTACCCCATGAATTTTGTTACTTTCAGTGCCAATCTCCGCATTGTGCATATTTTGTCTAGCTGGACAATTTACACTCGGGTATCACATCTTGCTCAAAGGATATACACCTTTTTCTTTGTGAGTGACGAAGTAGAATTAAGATTTGATAAAAGATCTATACACAGGATCCATGACACTCCATCAGTAAAACAATGTGGCAGCAATGGGCACATGCCCATAGATTATCCAAAATTGCTTTAATTTTCTGATATTCAGGATTCTTTGTTATGGATGACTTATTTGTCTGTATAAAAGAAATGAAGTATCTGAATAGATTTATAATTTAGATAGTGAATGAAAGTAGCTAATTTCTGTGTGTTCTGCCTAATTTTTTAATCATGATAGAACTAAATGTATAGCTGAGTTTACTGTTATTTGGTACTTGTGGCTTTTCATTAAATGTGAGGCTTTCATTTATCTTCTTGAAAGATCTCTTGATGTATAGATATTGCAACTTTTGCACTTTTGACATCAAACATTTCTATTCAACCTCATATCGCGGTTATATAGAAGAAAATATATACTACGTAGTTATGTGGGGTCTTGTTGATTTGTCTTGGTATACACTTTCATTTTGTTTTAGGAGGGTAAAAATAATTCCAACAAAGCAAACACTAGTCTATTTGTCTAGAAGACCCGGAGATGCATTCCCTTGACGAACATTAGTGTTTCAGATCTGAAACACTATAGGGTCAAGGGAATGCATCTCCGGGTCTTCTAGACAAAGCATCTGAATTCTTGCAAAACACTATAGGGTCAAGGGAAAGGCAAAACATCAGGTAACAAAGTCACATTTCTCTTTATGACTGAAATCAGAGCTGAAATCCATAACTGAATTCAGATCTGAAGTTCAGAGCTAAAAATCAGATCTGAAGTTCAGAAATGGAAATCAGAACTTCAATCCAAAAATGCTTGTGTGTGTGTGTGTGAAATTCAAAGCTTGTGTGTGTGTGTGAAAGTAAGAGCTTGTGTGAATGCTTGCTTGTGATGTGTGTGTGTGTGTGTGTGTGTGTGTGTGTGTGTGAGTGTGCCCTGCTCCCCTGCTACTGCTTGTCTGCCCTGCTCCCCTGCTGCTTTTATTCTGCTTGTCTGCCCTGCTCCCCTGCTACTTGCTGTATTGTGTAGTAACTTGATGTATTGTGTATTGTAACTTGCTGTTTACTATATATTCTTAACAATTTCAGAACTGAAATCCAGAACTAAAAAACTCAAACTTTTCAAATCCTGTATTGTGTGGATTACCTACTGTGATGTGCTATTTCTTAATGTGATAAATGAAAAGGAAAAGTGGATTACAAGCTGATTATTTAATGCAGATATGCTGGTTGATTATTTGATTGTGATTACCTACTGTGATGTGCTATTTCTTGACTATCTAGTTGCCTACTTAAATTGATTTAGTCTGCATGCCTACTTAGAACTAATATTTTTATTCACAATTAGGAATATATGTGATGATCACTTGTTTGTTTTTTTCTCTATTGGAAGAGTTGGAGATGATTTATCATTTTCCATGTACTCCGGATATAATACAGAAATAGCATAATTAAGAACATTATATTAAATTATACAAACTATATCTAAGCTGGTGCATGCACAATTTTTAATAATATCCTATATGCAAATTTCTTGTGAACATAATATATAATTATAATATCTATTGTGAAAATTTTCTGTACAAAAGCTTTATTTTACGTAGTACAAAATTTAATTACTGAATAAACTTTATTAAGGTTGTAGTGGAACTTCCTTGACAAAGATCAAGTCAGTCCAAATTTTCCTAATCAAATAGTTTCATGTGTTGGTTGTGTCTTTTCTTTTTGCATCTGGTAAAAGGGTATGACAACGAAAATTATGAATCTTTAGTGATTTGAGATATAATGAAGTGATGTGCTGTATCTTTATCTGCTGAGTTGATCTGGACATAATCTCAGGAACTTCGAAGAGAATCCATTGAGTCTCCATTTCTAAATCTGATCCATTAGTTCCCACCCATTGGGAACACCACCATGCTTTGAACCTAAATATGCTAAGAAAATTTTTATTATGTAGAAGATGAGGCTTCATTTAGCCATCTATTGACTTGGTTAATTGGGATAACAAAACCTGTAGTGCTCTGTATAATCATGCTACCAACTACAACATCAACTTTGATTATATATGCTCATTTGCATTGTGCTGTGTATTATGTAGTGTGCTCTTGCATGATGACCATTGAAAGAATAATATTTTAAAGTTTCTGTTACACTCTTCTTTCTCCTTTTACTAATTTTATAATAGAAATCCGGGTTGAGTGGTTTTTATCCTTCTTTCTCATTCATTGCATATTCTTCAACGTTCACTAATCCTGATTTGAAACATCAGATGCCTATACATTTACTTCACCCTTCAATTATAATATCAATGAATCACTGAATATGTAATCATTTTCCCTTCAAGAATCAGAAATGCTTGTCCATTGCTTTCTGTTCCATCTGGGAAAATTAGTTTGGCTGAAAGTTCCATCTTGCTTGCGAGATAGTGAAACTAGAGATCTTTGGTTGATCATGCGCTGTCCTGTCCACAGATAAGCCCATTTATCACTTATTGGGGGGGGGGGTGTGTGTGTGTGTTTAGAAGAGTCTTCATTACAAATAGTTGTTCTTGTAGAAGCAAAATTTTTATTATGTCCACTTTTTTTACTCAGACAGAAGCAAGAATCTAGGACTAAACAATAGCGCCAAAGTTAATTAGGAAAAAGACTGGTTATTATTATAATAACCAGTAACAAAACCTAGGTTTGAAACTTTAAAGTGATGCCATGCGTTTCACATATAGAGAAATGCAGAGTATTAGTTTTTGTTCATTTGTTTTTTAGACATTATGTTTGATGCCATGCTGTAATACCTAATATGTGAAAAGCTCTTTGCTGCTGCAAAATTCAGGCTGATAGGAGATGATTAGTTGATATAGCAGAAACAGTTCCTGCTTTTACATTCCTTGTGGAAAATTGTTGATACCCAATATAATTCTTTATTTTGTTAGCAACTGGGATAGTTTTGGACTGAGAAAGTGATGTGTGTGTGTGTGTGTATAAGCCAATATAATTTTGAGCTTGTGTGTGTGTGTGTGTGTGTGTGTGTAAGGCTATATTGTGTAATGTACTAATTTATACTTTGTTTTTTTTTTTTTTTTTTAAGATTGGAAAAGGCAATGTAGGAGCAACAAGAGAATAGGTCGGGACACTTGAGCGTCAAAACAAGCAACTATATTGTCTATAACGCCATCATCTATCTATTTTGGTTTTAGTCTTATTTATATTAGTGATGTATTTATTTAGGGACAAGCTACTATAATATGCGATTTTTTTTTTATTTTAGTTAATTGTGTTGATGTTTTCTTTTATTTATAAATTTGGTAATTGTTAGCAACATACTCTTATTATTGTTGATTAATTATTGTTTTTTTTAATCTGATCTTGTTATATTGAATATTTGTTTATTTGAATTTTAATGTTATTAATTTAATTTATGATAAATTTAAATAACTATAATGTATGTATGATGTAATAATTTAATAAAAGGAAAAAAAGAAAAAAAAAAAAGCTTAAAAAATAAATCTAGACGCTTTTTAATGTCTATATAATTGCACATTTTCAAATTTCAAAGACTTTCCCGCCATACCGTAGGCTAACACGAATAAACACAAGACAACAAAAAGCGTCGCAAAATTTGATTATGTGGACAGGAAAAAGCGTCGCTAAAAAAACTACATACATTTGGGATAATGTGCGAAATATGTAATTTTGGACGCTTCGTATATTAGTTTGGACAATAAAAAGCGTCGAGAATCTCGACGCTTTTTTGTGTCTCCGAAAAATTTTCGACTCTTGGATTTGCGACGCTTTTTTGCAGCGTCGAGAAATTATTTTTCGACGCTTTTTAGCGTCGAAAAAAGGCCTAAAAAGCATCCAAAAAACACACGCATTTTGTAGTAGTGAACTTTCTAAACATTTATTTGAGGGGAAAATAAAATAATTTAATGAGGTTAGAATTGGTGATGCCATCGATGTTAAAACTACAAAGAACCAAGAATTTATAATAATACTGCATATGAAGGTGAAATAATGATATAATGTCAGATTTTAATTTTTCAGTTACAAACTTTATAGTATGAGTTAGAATTGGTGATGACATTGATGTTAAAACTACAATGAACCAAGAAGAATAATACTACATATGAAGGTGAAATAATTAGCTTTTTAATGTCAATTTCAGTTACATACTTAATTAGTATGAGGAAAATTAATTAGCTTTCTGTTATGTTATTATGGACAATGTAAATTATAAATTAATTTTGGGCAATTTATAAGACCATTAAATTATTAAGTGTAAATCAAGGAAAAAAACAATATTATTTTTCTAGAAACAATTATGGAGTGTTATTAATTTTTATTCACTATGTGAATGTGAATAATAAATGAATCAAGTAATAGCTCATGAGAATATTGCTACGATCATCACATTGACATATAATCCCTTATATGGTGCTTTGTCAATTAAAATAAGATGACACATGGCAAAAGGAGTGACACATGGCGGAATGATAATCCTTCCTTTGAGTTTTAATAATAATATTGATTAGTTGAGAAAAATAAGGAAGCAGTAAAAGAGTTTGAAAAAATCATGGGTTAGTTGCGTTCACTTGCAGCACAAGTATTTCACTTCTACGTGCTCCTCAAGTTGAGGAACATGGAGTTAGTAGAACAAACTAACTGATTAGTGGATGCATTTCTAACTCTATAACTAACGCTTTCTTCAGTTTGCAAAAACACACTTGAGCATTCTAGCATATTTATTCTTACTTATTCCACTTGAGTCTAAAAGTGTCTTTGTGATTTATATTAAGAGTTTAATTCTTTAAATTGTAATTTGGGGTAAGAGTTTGAGTGAAGTCTAGAGTGTTTATTGCTTTGAGTGAAGCAAGGAAAAAGAGAGAGTTTTTCAGCATTCAACTAATTAAGGGATCGGTTGAAGGGGAACTCAAGTTTGTTGAGGAACTTGAGTTAGAGTCTTAGATTGTAATAGGTTGTTTACCTTATTATAATTAAGAGTTGAGTTTTAAAATCCCTTGTGGTCGTGGTTTTTCTTCTTGATTAGGGCCAAGAAGTTTTCCACGTAAAATCTCTTTGTGCACTTTAAGTATTTCGCTTAGTTTCTTTACAAATTCCGCAAAAATTATCCCAGTTTTCCTACAATACCCCTCCCCCTCTTGTATTGTTCGTTCGAGTCAACAATTGGCCAATAAAATCCATCGTTAAAAATGAAATTTACTGATAGTTTTTACAACCCATCGGTATTTTGGGAAATATCGATGGCCTAGCTATCGGTATAATTTTTTCGATAACTAAATCATTTTTTTGAAAAAGAATTTTCTTTTTACCGATGGTTAAAAGCCATCGGTAAAAAATAAATACCGTTAGTATTTTACCTTCGGTATTTTCTAAAATTTTTTTTTAAAAATATTCGAATTCTTAATTTACCCAAACCCTAAATAAGAGATTAAGAAGCATCCCTATAGTACCTCATGCGCCTCCCTTCTCTCTTCTCTCCTTCTCCTCTATGCTTCTCTTCTCTCCTTCTCCTCTCTCTTTTCTCTTCTCCCTTCTCATGTTTCTCCTCTCCTCCCTCCTCCCCGACCTCCTACTCCTCTCTTCTCCCTCCTTCTCCTCTCACTGTTCTCTGTCTCCTCTCTCCTTATTTAGCGATCTTTCTCTCGCCGTCATCTCCCTCATCAAAACCACCACCACCATAATGACCTACCATATTTATTTTATAAAGTTATGTGGTTACTAGCATCACAATCACAAGCAGTCATTTTTAAATCAAAGTTTACGATTTGTTTGGTCAACCTCAACCATTAAAATTCCAGATCTGGAATTTTCATGGTCAAGTTTGACCATTTAAACCCAAAAAAAAGGTGAAATATGACAATGTATGTTGCTTTTTATTTGTGGGTTAATTTTCTTTTTTGTGGTTTGATTTTGATCTCATGGGTTGATTTTTGTGTGTTTAATTTTAATTTTGTGAGTTGACTTTTGAGGGTTTAATTTTGATTTCGTGAATTGGTTTAACATTGTTGTTTATTTTTTGTTTAATATTGTGGGTTGATATTTGTGGGTTTAAATGTTGTGGGTTTTTTTCCATGTTTTTTGTTTTCAAATTAAGAACTTTTACGTTATTTTGCATTTTTTTTGTGAATTTATGGTTGGAGGTGTTGGTAAGTGGTGGATAGTTGGAGGTGAAAAAGGAGGTGGTCGAGGCAGTGGTGAGAGGTTTTGGGTGGTGGTGGCAGGTGGTTTGGGTGGAGGTGGGAGGCTATTAGGGGTAGTATAAGGTATGGGGGGATAAGGGGTAGGAGGGTATGGGGGTGAGTAGGGTATTTTCGATGGTTTTTTGCCATTGGTGAAAAACTCCGATGGATTTTGTCATCGTTATTTTAAAAGAACGCGACGTGGTTCTGCCATCGATAAAACCATCATTAAAACTTAACCGATGGCTTTTCTATCGGTATTTCTTGTTTTTCGGATGAATGGTTTTCCATTGGCCAAATACCGATGGTTTTTTACCATCGATATTTGACTCATTTATTGTAGTGGTTATAACAAAAAACATCAATAAAACCTCTTTAATTCAATAATTCTAATACAACAACTCAAACTCTTTTTTATCAAATTCAACATGCTCTCAAGATCAAACCTTTTAAAAACATAAATAATTTAATTGTTCGAAACATGATACAAAATCAATACTCCAATTTATTTGTTAAACCCAATTCGGTAAACATATTTTATTTCATAAGATATGATTTAATTGAATTAAGTTCAATCACCAATAAAATCATATAAAACATGTTATTCAAACTAATCACTCTCAAAGGTATCTAGCCACCTAAACATACCATTGATCCATATAAGGCTAACAAATAATCACTCTTATCAAGCACACCCTTATCAAGCACTCTTATCAAGCACACCCTACAAATAAATATAACCTTAATCCATATAAGGCTAACAAATAATCACAATTATTTAAATAAAACCCCCAACTATATGTACATAAACCCTATAAATTACTTTTTCATAAACTTGAATAGTAATTTGATTTTATTTTTACTAAAAATATTCTTAATAACTTTTATAAAACCCCCATAATAATAATATTAATTAATTCAGAGAAAAGAAGAAGAGGTAGAAAACCAAGGAAGAAGAAGAAGAAAGGTGGTGTAAAAGGAGTGACCGCCGCTCAATAGATGGCTGCTGTGGTCGGCGGCGGTGGCTGGCCGAGGAAGGTGGCAACTGGCGGTGGTGTTTGGTGGTGGTGTCAGTGCTAAAGCAAGAGAATTGTAGAGGAGAGAATTAGAGAGAATAAGTGAGAAATTAGAGAATTTGGTGTGAGTGTTTTAGTTATGATTCAAGGGCTTTTGTAGGCTAGCTCGTGGAAGAATTATTAGAAAAATGTAGGAACAATTATGATAAATGTTTTTAAGGAAATTACTTGGAAAAGAGGGAAATAAATTAAGGAAAGTCTAATATTAAGGTGGCTAAGGAATTGACAAGCTCAAGTCGTATTCACCTAATCAAAAATAAAACCTAAATCCACTATGTAGATAGGGAAGAAGGGTCGAACCACAGGGAAACAAGTCAATTTATTCCTAACTAATTAAAAGCAATCTAAATTATCAAGTAACCAAATTATTATAAAAAGGTAATTAATCTACTAAAGGTAAGAGTAGGAAGGGAGTAAAATAAGAGGTAAATCAATGAAGGAAAAACCTAGGGCATAGGTTCACCAATAAACAATATTCCAGGGTATCATAATAAGCAATCATCTATGCATCAATTAATCAGATTATAGAGGGATTTCGCGACGTATTACAATCACAGAGTTAATTTGCCGGTATTAAATCTCATCTCTCGAATCTCGACTTAACCATTTATAAATTAGTCCGCCTATTGAAACTAAGCCTAAACATCAATTCTCATCTCTCGAACCTCGAATCAATATTGCTAAACTCATACAATTAAATCTGGCCAAACCTAATTGCATAGCATTAAATCAATCAATAGGAAAATAATCAAGCATTGACAATCAACAATCACAAATTAGCCCTTCATATTATTTATTAGATCCCCATAAAACCTAGAAATAAAACTACTCACGCATAATTAAATCTAAACTAATCAAAACAATAAAATAAGACATGATGAAAGAATTAAAGAAAATAAATGAAATTAAAAGAGAAGAAATTGTTACCAAAAGTAATCTGGATTAAGGAATGGAATTAAGAACAAAGTTGAGAGAATTTTAAGAGAGAGAAAATATTCTAAGTAGAGAGAGAAAAGCTAAAAGAGAAGGTAATCAAAATACGT